TATTGATTCAGACACATACATCAGTTAGCAACTGGTCAAGAACAAGAGCAGGTCCTTCTCTGAAGTCAATCTTGTGAGCAACACCAGCCTCTTCAATTACAGGTCTTAATCTGCGCGGTTGACGTCCAAAGCCAATATCTGAAAATGACAAGTTAAGGGCATGAAACAGCCATACTGAGATCATTTTCTTGTAATTAAGGAAAAGGTACAATCAGATACAGTAAAACAGGAACTTGTATATACAACGCTTGTGTTTGAAGATAAGGGAAAGTAAGTATTTAAAATAAGGGAACTTTCCATCTTCTGGAAGGGCAAGGGCTCTGGCGAGAAGAGAGTAACCAGTGAAGACGCCAATTTCAAGGGTGTTCTTGGCGTTGATGAGTTTCACCAACAAGCTCAGAAATTGACCTTCGTCGGCAGACACAGCCAGCAGGTTCCTGTTTTACAATATGTTATCCCGTTGTTATATATATTCATATTGAAATAGAGCTAAGAACAGAATGATTCTGATTATTATTTGGGATATCTGGGAGAAAATTATGAAACTGGGATATACACTGTGCATAACAAGGTGTTTTGCCGTTATGTCTCGCAGCCCCTTCAAGCACTCATGCTCTCTTGGATAAACACTGGTCTCCAGTACATACTGCACCCACACGCGTACACGTTGTTCATACAACGCACGGATCAATGATGGATAACGTTAAAAACTAGCTAGCTAGAAGGCATATATATATGGTGAAGGAAGTATATATATCTCCAAAACCTGCCTGATGTAGAGCATCGCTTTGTAGGAAACTCTTATGATTCACTTCTTTATGCTGACCCGAAGCTTGCGATTTCGGTATTTTTCCTTAACGAAAGTCATAGTGACTATCTTAGATATATGCAGATCCGATCCCTGGTCTTGTCAACTTCTCTCTATTGTTTTGTTTAACTGGGTGGAGAATGGCACGAAATGTTATTCTATTTATAGACAAGTTCGAACAATGTTTTCTCCTCGGAGTGATTGAGAATTCTCTTAATAAGATGATCGATGCCGATAACTCACGAACATTCTTCGAAATAGGCACAGCAAACTTTCCCAGACCTTTGTTAATTCGATATAAATAATAATTACATGTTATTAAATATGTATCATTAACTTTTTCACAAGTTACTTTATGCTGCAAGGAGCGAAAACTTTGAATATTGCAGCATAATACTGTTATTCTTCATTATTAAAGAAAAAAAATCATATAATGTGGACGCTGGCTACCACTCGCTCTAATTAAATTATGCAGTTAGTTGCCTGCACCAAAATCATGAGCAAATCCATATATACATATATATATATATATATTTATATAAGTATTGGGTCAATGTTCACTGATATGGAGGCAGCCGGTCAGAACGATGCCAAATTTGTCTCAGAGATGAATAGTGGTTTGGTTGGGTGAAAAGATTCCCCCACATTTTGGTCAAAAAAAGGTTAAGCGATTCCTAGATCATGTTGATTATTAGTTAACCGACTATACCAGAAGGTTTTGTAATCATATCAACATACTAAAACAAAAATAAAAATGTGTGTGAAGAATTAAACTCAACAAAGATTAAATTTTCTTCTTTCATAGTAAGCTGTTGCCCTAATCTTTCACTAATTAAATTATAAATTGAAAGAAAAATCTGGTAAGTTTTGGCTTGTTGGTATATGAGAGATTGTGGATCTAAATTGAAATAGAAACTAACAGGAAAATAAATGAAACTGTGAGAATTAGTGAAATCAAAGTCTGGACAAGCGTGATCTCTAGCGGCAGAGGTCATTTTCGTTGATGACCGAACTTTTAAATCTCATTCGATCTGAAAAATGTTTCTTAATTAGAAACTAGAAGCTAGCTAGCCTACAATCGTTTTTGTCCCAAAAAAGAAAAAGAAGCTAATATCGTTTTACCTCCTCCACTTTAAATGTGAGATATTTTACTTAATGCACGCCAATAAAAAAATAGATAGTTAAAATTTTTAATTGTTTTAATTTCATCAACTTCGTCCTTCTTTAAATTCATGGGAAAAGGGGCCATGTTAACGGACGTAAATAATTTTAGGATAATCTTGTAATATTTCAAGCAAAATGGATATAAATTATCGTTAGAAATCCACAAAATACCTTGAACACTACAGCACAAACCTCTCTAAAACATACTCTTTTATTTGAAGTATTGCGATTAATTAATTAGAAAAATATGCTTATGAGAAGATGAAACATTGTTTCTTAAATGTATATTAAGAGGATTTGAATCGTTCATCCACTCTTTTTCCCACCATTAACTGAATGTTAAATAGTTTTTTTTTTTTGGTTTCAATATCCTTTGTATTGGACACAGATTCAAATATTATCAGGCTCAAATAAAGATAACTTTTTGAAAAATTTCATTCACACCACTTTAAACCTAATAACCTTAATTATTACCCGTTCTACTGTAACTAATACCCCATTTATATAAAGTAATATTTCCTTCGTTGTTGTATTATATATTTATATGAGGTCCATTAGTGATATTTAATTTAGTTCAAAATAGAAAATTATATTTTTCTTATCTCTCATATTAATTTTTTATTTCTCATATAATAGGCTAATACCCATATTTATTAAGACATTTTTATATCAGCGGATTAAATTTCAATCATTAAAATGGCAAGGATAATTTTTGAAAACGTCACAACTTCTCTACATTTTAATTAAAAATAATCAACCTACATACTTTTTTTAAAAAAATTATGAATTGATGAAGAAAATATTATATTTAGGAATGGAGAAAGTATTATTCTAAACAATATAAACTTATGAATTTTTCCAATAATTAGATGAGTCCTATTTTTTTTTTTTTTTAAAAAAGCGAATTAGGTCCTAGTTGAGGTGATCATACCAAAATCAACATACACAAGTCTCACAGCTCAAAAAATTGCTTACGAAGTACTGAATGAGCAACTCACACCGACACTGAGATAGCCTAATTCAATTGAGGTTGGTCATGTTAGAACACTGCATTTTGAAAGAGCGTTCGATCAAGACTTCAATTTGGATTAAAAATGGTTAAAGCCATAGAATAAAAAGGGAACAAAGAGGGATTCTTAAATACACTACTCATAATATTACAACACTGTAGGGGGGATTGGTAAAAATGCAAAATTATTATTGAATGACAAGAAGACATGAACATTAATGACAGCCAATTAACACATTCATGTATTAATTAAGAGAGAGGCACCTAATTTGTTCACTTGTCCACTTCAGACGCTGAACCACTGCTCTCTCTGTTGATTCCAGTCCATCATCCCCTCCACCGACATTAAACTGTTACACCGCTGTTCTTATTCCTGTGATATCCTCCCTCCGATTTTTATTACTCTTCCATTATATCTTGTAATTTATATTAGAAAATAGGTTTTATATTTAAAACCGTAGGAGTGGTATAAATTATTTTCAACCACATTGTTGGAAATAAGAAAAACCTGTTAATTTATTAATTTTGTCTTAAAATCAATTTTTTTGTTAACTTTGTAATCAATTTTTTTTCGGTTAACTTTGTCCTAGTAAAGAATATGGTTTGAAGAAAAAGAGAGAAAAAAACATGGCATTTTATTTGAAGGGCATATAAAAATACTAGATTAGAATGAATTCTCCTTTTAATAACTAGCGATAAATAGGGAAAATTTTGAAAATTTTTAGCTAATAACTCTCTAGATCATTTATATTTGAGACCGCAAATTTATTCGAGAAGACGACCTCCGTACAGAGATCAAAGAGAGTAGATAGGTGAAATACCATGGGAACATTTTACTTGATCTGTCACTGCTCAACTTGGTGTAGGCACTAGGGGTGTTCATGGGCAGGGCTGGGCAGGGCATGCCCCCTGCCCGATGCCCAGCCCAAAAAATGAGCGGGCTGCATTTTGCGGCCCGCTGCCCTGCCCTGCCCATAGAAGCCCTAACCATTTTCGGGCTGGGCAATAACGGGCTGGGCAGGGCGGGCTTCCAAGCCCAAATAGTGATACCTTGGTGAAAATTTTTTTAGTTAAAGTAAAGGTATCTTATAACAATTATAAAGAAATAAATACTTGAATAAACAATAAATTCAACAAATCAATAACTTTGCTTTGTCTTAAATTGATATATCTTTTAATATAACACTAAAGTGAGCTTGCTTTTGCATCTTTGTAAGACAACCAACAATAAAAACAAACTAAAAGATACTAAACCAAATTAAAAGATACTAAGAAGGAAGAATTACGCATACCACTAAATGTATTTATGGCAAATAAAAGAGGGGAGAATAATATATATTATTATATATTATATATTATTATAAGTATTTTTGGCAAAAAAAAGAATTATAAATATATATATCACGGGCAGGGCCAAATGGGCAGGGCAGCATACCATGCCCGCAGCCCTGCCCTGCCCATAATATGCCCAGCCCAAAAATGCCCATTTCTCTTTGGGCTATTTTTTTTTCGGGCTGGGCAAGGCCATTTTCTTGCGGGCTCGGGCGGGCATACCGGGCTAGCGGGCTTGATGAACACCCCTAGTAGGCACCGAGAAGGATGAGAGAATAATAGAGCCCTTGCTGCAGGAGAGGAACTTCAAGAGAAAAGAGTGCTAATAGCAAAACGACTCATTAATGCTCTGATCCACAATGCAGCCACTTAAATTGAGGCAGCACTATAACCAGGAGAAGTATCCACGCAACTATATTTACTACTCCTCCGGTCCTTAATATAAGATCCAATTAGTTTTGGTTCTAAATATAAGACTTATTTCTCATATTTATCAATTTTCTCTAAATTACCCCTATAGATATTCCCTCAACCATAATCAAGTAGAAGAGGGAGAGGGGGTATTAAGAAAGATGATTATGGTGTTTTAGGAAAAATGTGTCACTTATATCATAATTAACTAACTTACCTAACTTCCTTAATATAATCAAATTAGTTAAATGAGTTATATATTAAGGATAGGAGGAGTATATTTTTCCCTTATTATTCCTGCTTAATATTTGAGCTGTTGACAAAGAAATTAATTAGAGTAGTACATAATGCAAATAGTTGAAAACAAGTAGTACTAAGGGATCAGATGATGCGGCGGCACAGGGTAATGCCATCACCAATAGGAAGTTGACAAATCTCAATCCTAGAGTCACGGGCTAAGGCCTTGTTGAGCTCCCACACAAAAACACGATAATACTTGATGTAATCGAGCTGAGGTACTTCTGGTGGCTCCGCAACAGAGCCGTTCCATAGGGTGTTGTCGTAGCCGATCAGTCCCCCAACCTTCACCAACTCAATGGCCCTCCTGTGGTAGTTCAGGTAATTTTCCTTATCCGCGTCCACAAATATGAAATCGAAGGCCCCCTTGTTCTTTTCCTGCAAATTAATGATCGTCGCAAGATACTAATAAATTTGAGAGAGTGATATCAGTTCAGATAAAACTTAGCACAGTGTACACGTACGTCTATGAGCAAGTGGTCAAGAACAGGAAGCGCAGGCCCTTCTCTGAAGTCAATCTTGTGAGCAACACCAGCCTTTTGGATCACAGGCAAGCCCAGCTCATAATCTGCGCGGTTGATGTCCAAAGCCAATATCTGAAAAATGAAATGTTAAATGCATCATGAAACAGTACATATATGAGAAGAGGAATCAATATACTATTAGTTTTACATAATAGTGCGTGTGTGTGTTTTATGAGATAAGAAGAGGAAGAATAAGAATAACTTCAGGAACCTTCCCATCTTCTGGGAGGGCAAGGGCCGTGGCGAGAAGGGAGTAACCAGTGAAGACGCCAATTTCAATGGTGTTCTTGGCATTCATCAGTTTGAGCAACAAGTTCAGAAATTGGCCTTCGTCAGCCGACACAGAACAGACGTTCCTATTTCACAACATATTTAATCAATTTCGCAAGAGTATATGTATTAAAATAAAGTTAATAACTTAAGTACAGAATAATGATGTGATAATTACTAGGGATTCTGAGATTGATGAGAGGAATAGAACTGATATTGCATAGAGCGTACCAGGGGTGTTTCGCAGTCAAGTCTCGCAGCTCCTTCAAGCACTCGTGCTCTCTGGGATAAACACTGGTTTCAAGTATATACTGCACAAACATGCATATTGTTCAGCACAAGCATCAATTACAACAATGTTAAAAACTAGATATGTAGATGGCATAATATGAGGAGCGAGTATACTTCCAATATGTACTCGCCTGATAAAGAGCGTCGCTTTGCAAGAGGCTCTTATGATTCCCTTCTCTGTGTTGACCCGAACCTTGGGTTTTTGGCTCCTCTCCCTTAATGGAAGTCATTGTAGTTGTTATGTTAGATATGCAGGTGCAATAATCCCTGGCCTTGGCAGCTTTCTCTCTATTGTTCCGTTAACTGATGGAGAAAAAGGCAATAAATTCTATTGTATTTATAGACGAGTTCCAGACTTCCAGTGTCAATTACTCCCTCCCTTAACTTTTTAGTTTTAACTACCTTACACAGATGAGGAAATTAAATGAGTTATTAATGTCATTTCAATTTTCCAAATATGTCCTTATTAAATACAGAATACATGCAATTTTGATCAGAGATAAACTTGAAGTGATCTGAAGATTAAATTGAGAGATCAAGGGGGTGTTTGAGTGATTACCCAAACTATGGTTTGGGAAAAAATTACCCAAACACCATGGAAAAAACCAAAACCATGGTTTTGGATCAAAATCATGGTTTTAGCCCAGAAACCATGGTTTTGGCAGAAGCAGAAATTTTCTGCTTTTGGAAGAAAAAGAAAGAGTGTAAGAATTTATGGAATATATGTCTTGTTGTTTTTAGAATAAAATAATATTTTTTCTGTTGGTAAAAATTATTCATTTTTTACAAAATTTTTTTAATCTCATAGTTTATAAATATATATACACATATTAATTATTTATTAATTATATTATCTTATATATTATTAATTATGTTAGTAAAAATTATTTTGTTAATAATTTTATTCTTTCAAATTAAAATATATTATAAAATCTATCTTTTATATAATTATCATATTAACTTATGTCCTTTTTAATAATTTGCACATGTAAAAAGTGCTTTTGGTAACAACTATCCAAACACTCTCATTTCTTAGAATCACTTTTTTACAAAATCTATTCTCCCCAAAATTTATTCTCCAGAAGCTATTCTCCAAACCATGGTTTGGTTATATCCAAACACCCCCAAGTCATTCTACAATTGGCAAAGTTTATGTATTAAGGTGAAATAAATAAAAAGATGGTGAAATTAATAGAGATTTAATCATAGAATTCAAGTTGGGTGGTTTAAATAGAAAAAAGTTACTAGAATTATTTGTGATCAGAAAATATCTAATAAGGTGAAAGAAAATTAAGTTTTATCATACTACAATACAACGAACAATGCTATAATGCTATATGATACTGAATGGTAGGTTTTAAAGGATAAACATGAGCATAAAGTGGGAGTAACTGAGATGAGGATGATGAGATAAATGTTTAGTCATACAAGAAAAATAGTATTCGTAGTGAAAAAATATATATGCAAAAAAGTTAGAGTGGCTTCTATTGAAGAGAAATAATATGGAGAAGATTATTTGAAATGGTTTAGTCATGTTCAAAGAAAGCCTTTGAATGTTTCGATGAGCATGGTTGATCAAACAATATACAATCCTATGAGAAGGGATAGAGGAAGACAAAGGAGAACACTCAATAAAATTATTGAATGAGATCTTTTGATTAAGTACCTAACAAAGATTTGATCATTATTGATAAAACTCAATGACTTCGTGTGATATTGATTCATATGACCTATCTAATGAAATATTCCTTTAATTCTTTTTGTATGATAGAGAGAGAAAATATTTTTGGTCTTATTTATAAGGTACTGAGAGAAATTTTTTGTATTGGTGTACAATTTTATCTTTTATTTATTATTGTGTTGATTTTATTTATATAAAGTATAATATATATCAAATAGAGATAAAATCGGATAATTATTGAATTTTAAACGAGATTAATGAAGTTTAAGATTTTTTTTTGTTTGTGTGAAACATATTTGAGGTAATTTATAAATATGACTAGAGGAGTAAAACTTTGTTGTTATTGTTGTATCCTTCATTAAATACAGTTATTCTATTGATGGTTATTGAATAAACTGGGATTGAGTAATTTCTGAATTTACAAGATGCATTTTTTGAACAAATGTATCAATTATTCCTAACATTTTACATAATGATTTATAAAATGAAATACTTCAAAATTTTTCTATTAAGCAAATAATTTATAAAAAAAGATGACTGGGCGAGTTTTGCATATTATATTAAATATGTAATAATATATATAGTTTATTTCAATAAATTTATGATCGTGATCATATTAATTGGTTTTGCCAAAAAAACCAACTCCTTTGAATCGATCATTATCATATAACCTGATACTTTTAAGTACTTATTTGATACTCCCTCCGTTTCTTATTATAAGAGATGAATAACCGAATTATATTAATAAAAAAATTAGTTAAAAACAATTAATGTGTAATAATTTTTTTTCAAAAATACCCTCATTAATAAGGAGAGAGAACATGAGAGAGAACAATGGTAAATTATTAAAAGAAAGAGAAGTGGGAAGGAGAGAGAGTGTGAGTTAGAGACAATAAATATTGGTAAAATAGGAAATCAACACAAAAAAATAAAGACAACTTTTAAGTGTCTCTTATATATAAAAACATACCGTAAGCATCAAATGTCTCTTATAATAAGGAACCGACGGAGTATTGAACATAATTAATCAATGTCATCTTTGTGTTCCTTTGACAAAATAACGTATATATGTATTTTACTTCCTTCAGTCCTTTTCATAAGATATTTGGAGTAGAAATTTCGGGTGTGTTGCATATTTTTCATATGATTTTTAGTCAATAAACAACGTTAAATTAAAATTCTTTAATTTTCATACAAGATAATAAGTTCTAAGTCTTTTGTTAGTGATTGATTATATATAAAAATGACGACAATAAGTACACATATTTTCCACCTTTTCCCCAGTCACTGTGCATGGGGCTGGAGGCTAGAAGTATGAATCGTGGCATCATTTTGGTTCACAAAATTATTCCATAAATTACTCAACTCTTCCCCTCGGTATTAAATGAAAAATGCATATTCTAGCTACCCCTCTAACAAAACTACCCCTCTAACAAAAATAGCTAGCCCGCGGCATTCAATTTTTTTTTTTTTGTTTTTTGAGTGGCCCAGCATAATTTAAGGACGTGGTCGGTCAGGATAAATGCCGACTTCTCAACTTTTGCGGTGATATGTAAGGTTTGGCGGGGCTAGTAAAATTGGGTTTAGTGCATTTATTGCTGTGATCTTTTTTTTTTAAAAAAAAATGCATCCAGTATTTTGATATTTTTATGATATATTTAGTATTTTAAATTTATTTTTGTGTATCCAGTACTTTAAAAATTAAAATATTAGATATATTTAAAAAAATAATATCGAAGTATTAGATACATAATAAAAAAAATATCAAAATGGCAGATACACCATAAAAAAAAAAAAAAGCAAGATGGCGGATATACCTCAGAAAAATGGGGTGCTAATCCACCAATATCTGAGAAATTTCCTTAGCTCATGCTGATCAATTCCCGTACCGTTGGTTTCGCGCCTTACATATTATATGTGTGTGTACCTAAGGATGCCATTAAGGTTATACTCCTTCGGTACTTAATATAGGACTCAATTATTGAGTTGGTTTTGGTCCTAAATATAAGACCATTTATCATATTTTTTAATTTTTTCTAAATTATCCCTATGGATACTTCCTCAACCATAATCAAGTAGAAAAGGAAGAGGGGGTAATAAGAAAGATGATTACGGTATTTTAGAAAAAACGTGTCACATTTCTTATAAACAACTAACTTACCTAACTTTTTTAATCTAATCAAATTAGTTAAATGGGTCTTATATTAATAATCGGAGGAGTATAAATTATAGGCTTCAATTAGGTTATAGATACTAAGTTTCGTTTTCTAAATGGCATAATGGCTATATAATTTAATTTAAAGATAATTATAGGAAATATGACTTTGTTAAAAAAAATAACAGCTATTGCAATGTATGTAGAGTAGTATCTTCTGCCCTTAATATAAAAACTAGCTAACTAATTTGAGAGTATTAAGAAAACTAGTTAAATTGGTTATTTGTAATAAATATGTGTTATTTTTCTTAAAATATTCTTACTAATTAAGTGTATTGACTAAAACAAACATTATTACAAGGAGTACTTTGGAAAAAATGGATAAATATGAGAGACAAAATGAATTGAAATCTTATACTACCTCTGGTCCTTAATATAAGAGATAGTTGAATAATTTGAGTAGATTAAAAAAAATTAGTTAAGTTAGTTATCCGTAATACATCGGTGTTGTCTTTTCTAAAATATCCTTGCTAATCAAGTGTATTGATTAAAATTACTATTATTATAAGAATTACTATTATAATTAAATGATAATATTTTAAAAATAAGTCATATGACCTTGTATGATTAAAGAATCTAACATGATATTCACAAGCAACTTGATAGAAGTATTTCCGAATTGGAAAACAATCCACTCTAGTAACTGTTCACCGAGAAAAATATCCAGCACTAGCAAGGCGGTAACCCACCACGCGCGTTCGTAGAAGCATATGGTGTGCATGCGTCCACCTCTTCTTTCCTCGCGGCAAATATGGAAGGAATTTGAAACCGACGCGGCGAGTCAGAGGCGGGAAAAGGATGAGATAAAAACTGATCGAATTTGGAAATAAAGGCAATGAATCGCGTCGTTTTTGATTTAACGTAGAGAATGAGGATGAGACTAGGAGTCATGGAGATGAGCGACACGCTGGATCGGCAGGATAAACGTGCCTCAGAGGCGTTACAAGCCCTTTGTCTGCAGCCACCCTAGGGGTCTTACAACCTGGGATTTTCTGATTTTACTTCCCTAATGAGATCAATCCTTCAAAGGAATTCTTTTAATACCCAAATTTCCATTCAATGTACATTCTTCCAAGGTTACCGATACAATGCTCCAATTCAGAGTATAAAAGACATCCACCTCTTCAGATTGTTCTTGCGGAGAAGAGATTCAGGTAGTGTGGGAGAAAGTGTAAGAATGAATTTACGAGAGTAAGATGTCGAGTTTTTCTTTCCCTTCGCCGAATTTCACTGTCTATAGGGTATAATCTCTTCCTCTCTGCCTTGTTTGAGTTCTCGATTAGTTTATGAGTCTAATGCAGCCGTGTTTATGTTTATATGACTGCTTATTCCGTTAATTCGCGTGTTTTTCGAAGTGGGATTTCGATTCTGTTTCTACTGATTCTGCTTTCCACTTCCCCGTTAAAATTCCTTAGCTGGTGGATCGATCGTATTTAACACCCTTTATCTTTCTACAAAGTTGCAAATCCTTGCTTAGATTTCGAACTAAGAAAACCCACAGCTCTAAGAAATTTTCTACCCAGTTCACTTTCTTTTCGAAAGAACCGTAATTTTTGCTTTTGGTTAGTATTTATGATATTACTTGAAAAGCTTCGGTTTTGTAAAATTGGTGTGTTCATTTCATTTCGCGGTGAGTATTCGACAGCATAGTCACAATTCCAAAGCTTATAAAATTATGAGATTGTTCTAGGTTTTTGTTTTGTTTTGTGTTACTCTTCCATTTTTAATTATTCAACTCGGCACCAACCTAACGGTTTAATCAGTGGGATGTTTTGAACGATTTGAGTACTGAAGTTGTAAGTGTGGTGAGTAAACTTTATGATGATAAAGTGTACTTGATCTTTTAATGTGTACTTCTCATATGAGAGCAACAAATTTTATTGAACAGTGGCAAAATTTTATTGTTTTGAACTTCATTTACTTAAATTGTGATCAGGATGCTAGACTTAATGGGTGTAAGGTGTATCATCCCTCAATAAATTTGATGATTGACCATGATATTGTTATTATTTCATTTCTAAAAGAGCTTGACGATTTTGTGTGCTTTTTTCTTTTCTATGTGAACTTTGAAAAGGGCTAAACAGATCTTACTCGTTTTTAAGGGAGAGAAAATAGAACTTCTAATTGTCCATCCATTTTTAGTTTATCATTCCCTTTGTCATATAGATGATCATTTTCACATTTCTTTCTTCAAATGCCAATCAATCATGAAACCTTTTGATATTGTTTAGGAATATATCACAGCCAATCAGGTGTACATTTTTATGAATAGATTGTTGGAAGCAAAGATTTAACTAAAACATTCTCTCTTTTATTATCCAATGTCTTTTGATTTTTTGTGTTTTTGTTTCTGTAAACCGTCTTTATGTTGGTGAAATTCTTAACTTCGACTATCCCATGTGGCTGTCATTTTTCATATTAATATTATAATATAGTGTTCTGGATGTTGAGACACGATGCCTGAAGGAATAGAACCTAGAATCCAAAAACATCTTACTGATGAGAAATTCTTGTCTTCACATCTTATATTTGATAACTCTCAGTATTATGCAAATAATATGATTACATTATATGGCTGAGTGGATAAGAAATTGCAAGAATTAAACTATTTTACTTGTGAGCTTTGATTTTTTGAAATATTTTTTCTCTGTAGAAAATGTTGATCCTATCAATATGTCTTTATCAACAGCTTAGATTGGAGATGGACATGTTTAAGTGCATGCTCATTCTTTGGTCTGAGATTCTCGTATCCCTCTGTTCATGCATTGCATGAACGAATATAAGCTTCTTATATGGATTATGAAATGGCGATTTTTTTTTCAGGATTGAGTGACTAAGGAATTTTTCCTCTTGGATGATTGTTGATCTGACTTCTTAATTATACGCCTTGCTATTTCTTATCATGTTATTTGTCAATTTTTTTTTTTTCCTGATCTAGTAAATTTGTGGATGGAACTTATTGCTTTAGCATATTATACCTGTCTAGACTGTCTTTTTGGACAATGATATATAATTTTTCCTTTCTTAAGTTTTGATTATGCATTCTTTACTCGTATTTTGCTCACTACTACTTTAGTTTCATCTATCATCATGCCTTGCTAGTATTTGCATATGATGTTATTATGACTGCTGGGTTCTTTTGTAAGTTTTGAATATTAATGATGGAGAATGTAGGCATTTATTGATTATGCATGATGTTTTGGTCTAGGGTTAGGTACGTCCTTCATGAGTTGTTGGGAATGACTACATATAGGCATTTGCCAACTTCAGTTACTGTAGCTGGTAACATGTTTCCTGTTATATCTTGAGATATTTCGGTTGTGAATGTTCATCCTGAGTGTCTGGAAGTTGTGCGTACCACTTGTAATATTGCTTTATGACGTTTGAATTAATAAATATTTCACCCCGCCTAGATTTTCCATTGCTGTATTTTCAGGTGCAGTGGTCGGAAAAGAGTTGTTTTGTTGTATATTCATTAATGTAGTAATCATGTTTATCTTGCGTATGGTTTCAAAAACTCTTTATGGATAAGTACCCTTTTCTTCTTAAGAGTAATATTCATGCCTTTTAGGGCTAGACTTCATTGCAATTAAATTTTTGCTGAGCTCTTGTTCTTGAGCTCCACGCTTGTATTTAATACTACTATTTTCATATAATGTCTACTAGTTTAATAATTTGTATGTATGGGTTGCCAGTCAATTGGTAGTTACAATTAATAGTTGCTCTCTCTGTAACCGGAAAACAAGGCTGCGATCTCCTTGTTTGGTTAATTGCTTAACAAGCATGCTCTTCTTACGTGAGAGATGTCTATTTATAAGTTTATTTAATGCAATAATTTTGCATTGTGATTTAGCTTTCACGTTGAGATGGTTAATCCCTCCGTTAGAACCTCAGTTTCATTTGAATGCATTTATGCCATTCTTCTTTGAAATGCATTATCTTTCCATTTTATTGACATCCCCCACGTCTCATGAATATATTTGTGTGCCATTTTAGTAACTTGCCTTTTTCTGTCTTGGTTGCCACTTCTTACATATCCACCATTGCAGAATTCTTAAGAGTAATGCCCATAGTTATGAATTATGTTCTGATGTTGGTTAGAAAAGAAAACCATTTCGTTTCATTTCTCGCCTTCATTTGCTTGGTTCTCATCATGCAGCCTGAGTAACTCCACAATTAGCCACACTGCCTGGTCGTTTTTGGGATTGTCCCCTGAATATTTGGCCTTCAGGGGCTAACCTATAGGCAATGATGAACCATCAAGGTAACACTTCTTTTTCCTTCCGTGTGTGTTTGTTTTAAATCTTGATCACCACCAATTTCTTGTGGACATTAAGATTGACAATCGACCTGATTTCATGGGCTAATTAAGAATAATGCATGGTACATTTTCTGTCACTATCTTGACTCATGATATCCTTGCTATGACAGGAGGAATGAGTCACGCGAATTGTAATGCTAATAACCAAAAGAAGGTCAATCATCAGTCCACTGGAGCACTGGAATTGCTTCCTACTGCAAGTTCCCTTGCGGCAGGTGACCAAAGGTTCCCTGATCAGGTTTTGGGGTCAAATCATGTCAGCTATAAAGAGAGTATAAATATTGTTCCAAATAATGATCAGTGTGCTGCTGTTTTTCCCCATGAGTCATCTGAAGCATTGAGCTTTTCTTCTTTAACTTCCCCTACCAGAAATGTTAAATGGTTGCCAGATGGGCTGTCTGGATCAATTGATCTCCATTGTCAAGCAAGTAATAATAGTATTCCAAGCATTGGTGGCAGTGCTGGTGTTGCTCCTCAAAATGTTGACTCAGTTGCAGAATATGCTCGGAACAATTGTTACAACAATTTGAATATGTCTCTGAGTTTAGGCCTTCATTCATATGGACCAGAAAATCAGAATACCAGCAACTCTTATACAACAGTAAATGATCATGGAAGATCAAGTTCTACAGTGCATGAGCAGGGTTTGGATAGCAGCTCAGTGAATATGAGGCGTTTATCCTGCAAGAGAAAGTCTTCTGAACATACTGTCAGAGAATTGTTAGTGGGTGAGAGTTCTAGCACAGCTGCACAAACTGGGATTCCCAAACAGGGGGCTTTTGAAGTCCATGGCAGCAATTGCCTAGACATATCTACTCCTTGTACCAGTCCTGTTAGTCATCAAGAACAGTCTGAGACCATTATTGGTCATGGTACGATAAGGCCATGTTCTGATATGCAGCATTTGAATAGAGCCGGACTATCTGAAAATTTCCAAAGTGATGTTCATCATCATACAGCCAGAAATCAACAAGCTTTTTTACCAACCAACATTTTGTCCTCAGATTACATGAGGAATGCTCATATCCTGGTACCCACTCAGTCACTTTTGTATGGCCAAGACAATCATCCTCCTTTCTTCAGGTTTGCAGAAAGTTCTATTTGTCCGATTTCCTCGGTGCAGCCTGATGAGCATGTTCCTAATCTTCATGAAACTTCACAGGCTCCCCCCTGGATTCATATGATGAGATCAAGTAGTGGTTTTTCTTCATTTTTGCCTGGCTATACTGCACTGGAAAGCGAGGCTGTGGCACCCTGTCATTACCCAAGAAACACAACTGAAAACATCATGCCTAACCAGCAAACTGAAAGGAGAAATTGGGCACTTCATGCAAGAAACTCGCATTTTGTTGATGGAACTGCAAATGTCCATGGAGATTTTTCCTGTCCCCTTCATCGTTTTATTTCTGGTGTACTTCATTCAGAAAATACCCCTACTTGGTTCCCAGGGTCCAGTTTTGCTGATCGTAATGTGCTGACACCATCAAGAATTGTGAATCATACTGTGCTTGCAACTGCTGGTTTCCCTAGGCATATTCACAACCCAGCAGATTCAGACCCTTCACCAGTCCTACAAGAAATGAGCTTTGCCGTTGGACTTGGTAATGCTGTATCCCAGAATCAGCATGCATCAGAAGCAAGATCTGAGAATCACACCGCCCCTAATTTTACATGGTGTCTTGCTAATTCTCCAAATGGAATGAGGCTGAGGCCTGAGGTATGCTTGATACACCCCTTCTTTAATGTTTATTGTTTAGTACTAAAATGATTAGGTTGTAATGTGTGGATAGATACTATTTTGCAATACTCTAGAAAATTAAAATCAAAGATGAGTGTATATATATATATATATATATATATATATATATATATATAATGCGTGGAGTGATGATGAGTAAACTGCATTAATTCTTGATTTCCTTGTTGCAGATATAATTAGGGAATTTGAGTTTGTAAATTGGCATTTTTGGTTTTAAATATGATTATTTGGGTACGTAGATTTAATTACCTAGGTTTTATGGTATCTTCGTTAATTCTTGGATTATGATTCTATTTCTTTTTTCCTTCTTTTTTCCCCCCCTTAGAATCACTCCCCTTTTTCTTCAGGTTGCTTGTCCTTGGTAAATTCTGATTTGTTTGAATTGTCTCCATAGAGCTTATCATCTGTCACAGTGATTCTAGTTCTCTAGTTTTTAATTTTTTGGTAACTTCGGAGTGATTGGGTTTGATTTTCTTTTGATTTGGTAATGCTATATCTCAGAATCTGTATACATCAGAAGCAAGATTGGAGAATCAAGATGATAGCTATGATGATCACCTTTATCATTATTTTTGGTCACCTGCTAATGCTGCGTATAGAAGGAGGCTGAGTCTTGAGGTATGCCTGAGACACCTATTCTTAAATGGTTTGTCCAATACTTGTGATGCTTACAATATATGCTTTGCCCTGATAACATACTCTCTGAATATCTTGGGCGATTTAGATATGACTTGAGTGGAAAACAATTGATCTGGTCGTAATGTGTGGAAATGTGTATACTGATGTACAAGACTCTAAAGATGGGAAATTAATTCAAATGATAGAAGTGACTATATTATAGAAAGGAAATTTCCTTTTCTGGTTTTGGTTATATGCGCGTGCATGTGATATTGAGCTACAATTCGTGACAAAGTGATGGTGATTTCCTACCTGCATTAATTCTGTTGCAATTGAATCAGGGAATTAGATTTTGTTAGTAACCGTATTAGGATTTAGGGGATTAGAGTTTATAAATTGGCGTTTAGGGTTTAAATATAACTTTGGAGTGTAAGTTCGGTGAGCTTGATGTGGTAAATTTGATTTTTACTATTTTTCCCATTTACTGGGACTTTCATTTGTAAACAAAAGAAAACCAAAACTTTTTGTTCTTTTGATATTCATCTTGGTTTCTCCTTCCCTGCATCATTAATTTGCTCAGACATGCATAATTCCGTAATTTGTCCAAATTGCACTGATTAAATTAATAGCTTTTGGCATTTTCACCTCAAACTTTAATTAAGAATACAGATCAATTTTGTTTGAGCGCACTTGGTAGAAAGGAAGGAAAGGCATTCCTTTTTCTTTCCTTGTTTTGCGATGTTGAATGCCTTCGTGATCATTACTATCAGTTTTTACTGATCCATTTTTTAACTGATTCTTACAAAATATGGTAATAGTTGACTCCGTGAGTGCTGTGCGCGCACGCACACATGCAATTCATCCACTTTGAGGGTGTGTTTAATGGAAATATCAATTCAATGTCACATGGATCATTAGAAAGAATATTGATTGTTGAGAAGGATTTGAGAAAAAAGCAAAAAGAAAACCCTCATATTTGGCTTTGCCAGCTTTGGTAAGTAGAAGGCATGAGCCTCCCTATTCCAAGATAAAGTTTGTTTTCAGCTGCCGAAGTCTCTTTGTCTTGCTGATCAGACGTGTTAAATGAGCTAAGTTATCATGGGTCTTGAGGTGAACAAGTTGGTTTTATCTCATCTTAATTTGGTGCCTTAAAAATCAAAACCCGACTTTCATGAATATATAAATAAGTAAAATCTAACTTACTAGGTGAGTTCGGTAAGTTGACTTGTTTAATTCACTGAAAAATAAAATAAAAACTAAAAAAATATTCACGGTGAGTTAAATGAGCCAATGCATCTAACTCGTGAGTTGGCTCATTTAACCCACATGGGTTAAATATGTGGGTTAAATGGACCAATCCATCAAGTTTTTTTTTTTGGGAGCTGAGAACCAATCCATCAAGCTGAAATCATTTTGATGACTCCATCTTCTTTTTCCCCCTTCTATATTCCCCCTTTTATATTAAATTTAAGGATCCATGATGCTACAGTTGGCCTACGTATCTTTTTGACGATTCTATCTAATGGATATGCTAATTGATGAGTATTTGTGATCTAATCAGACACTTTTCGTATTTCGATATGTTGCAGCTTCACAATCGCCTTGCACATCTGCGCAGTGTTGACCCCTTGCAGCCTGTGGTAGGTTTTCACATGAACTATAAAATATTTTCAATGAAATGCTTTCGTTTTTCCTCTGTTTTTGTTTCTTCCTTTTGTATCACGTTATTGGTAGGTTAGATGCAAGGGACACAAACTAATATTATGTTACATTATTTGTGATGTTCTTCTAGGCTGGAATTATGAGCTGATTGATTCACTTTTTATTCCACTTTCAAAAGCAGATGATTCCACTGGAATTGAGGATGTTGGACCATTCAGTAGTAATGGATATACTTATGGGGCATAACACCGTAAATGAAGCGCATTTTGATTTAGACGATTGGACGTTTGAGGTAAAAGCTGAAGTGAAGCTTCACTTAAATAGCACTTTTGCATTTGTTCATCGTCTAAGGAAGTAGATTTCCGGCTTCAGGATCTTGCTGGCCTAACAGAGCCTATTGGCGTACCAGAGGCGGGGTTGAGTGAGGAAATGATTCTCAGCCACCTTAGTCAGGAAAAATTCCAGCCCATCCCAGATGGGTCCGAGGAAAATGAATGCTGCTGCGTATGTCAGGTGAGGTCCGGTACATCTTAATCCCATGAGATTTAGAGCTCATGAAAATTTCTTCATCTTGCCTCCACTATATTAACTGTTCTGGCTTTTCTTAGATTTAAAGGTTCCCATCTATTGGTCTTGATTTATGCTTGTGTTCCCGATATTATTTGTAGGAGGAGTACCAAGAAAATGAAGATCTGGGTAAGCTGTGGTGTGGCCACAGGTTTCACGTAGACTGCATTAAGCCATGGCTAGAGCTGAAGAACAGCTGTCCAATCTGCAAACAAGTTGCGCTTCCTGTTTTCCCTGATTCTCCTTAAATTTCTGTATCTCTCCCTTCATGGGACGGCGTTTGACTTTGGCAAGCTTAAGGCCTTGAGGCCTTTGCTTTCCCTCCCTTCCTACCCTCTGATAAACAGTTGACATAATGGAAAGTGGTTTCCCAACAGAGGTGTCCCGCAGCTTTGTTCATATAGGATTATGCTGCTTTTTGTAAAGCAAACTTCCTGCTGTTAGAGTTTGGAGTATAATTTGCATGTTTTATTTGCTTTGAACTCTCTAATTAATGCCAAAATAGATATGAATTTCTTGCCTTCTCTACGGAATGTGAGGAATGAGTCGCAGTATGAACGGTTTGTTAATAGCTCATGGATAGCAAGACTGAAAGCGAACATAGCATTTACTGAAGCTCATGGTTCACCCACCCAATCACCGTTTTAAAATCACAGAACGGTACACATCTCGAGAAAATCATCTCTTCTTCGATGACAGACGCAAGTGAGTTACTTGGCGTGCACGAGCTTTCGCTGATTCAATTTGTGTTTGACAGCTTGAGCTTGTATTGTGTACTATCTGTCGGGCCAAAAACAGAGCTCGGATTGAGACATTTGATGACGTGGACGGTGATTTTTTGTGGTCCCTTCCTTGCGCTGGAAAATTACTGGATTATATGCCAAGAACTTCTAAATTCAATGGCATCCCACGTCTCTTTTCGTCAAAAAAGTTGAGTTACATGCATCCTCATGCCATGTACCAAGATGTTGAAGTTGAGCCTACGATGATTTAAATGTTGAGGTTTTAGCGTACATGCATCTGCCATATACCAAATTTCTCACTAATATATATATAATTCCCCTGCTTAAGTTGAAGTTGTCATCTTTCTCACTAATATAATTCCCCTGCTTAAGTTGAAGTTGTCATCTGTTTTAGTGGTATCTCTTATTTAGTAGTTGTGTTTTTTTGTCCTTCTCCACCATTTCAGGATCCTGTATTTCAAGTTCCCCCATCAATACACACGGGAAAATAGTGACACAACATCGTGGAGAGTAATTACCAAAATACTGCATTCAAAATCATTTACCTTTTTTTTTTCCTGATACAAAGGCAAGTGGGAAAAAAAATCATTCACCTTTGGTAACTAATTTACAAAGATTAAGGAAAAATAGTCAGTTTAATTATTTATAAAAATATGGGTAGATTTCTCAAAAATATCACTTTTAATCATTTATATTGAAATTATCCCATTAATGAGAATTCTCCTTAACATATATGCAATTAATATGAATAATTTAAGGGAAAAAATATAAATCCAAGAGATGAACAAAATAAATTAATGTTTTATATTTAAAACTAAAGCCTCTTAAATAACTTTTATATTTAGGACTTAAAAGACTCATTGATCTAAACTTATGATTTAGACTTGGAGGTTGGAGGTGAGTGGGAAGAGGAGGGAAAAGTTTAATCATTTGCAGTCGTTTTATTAAAAAAAGAAAATAAATTGATAGCTGTAAGTCTTGTAGTTGATCATAATTGTAAATTTTGTTATCATTGTAAACTAAAGACTTAATTAACGCCACCCTTGTAATTAATATAAAAACTAGTTGGGAAATAAATTTAGTGTCTTTAGTATACGAGTTTGTTTGACTTTTATTTTAATTCTAAATAAAATATCATAATTTATTTTGTTTCTCATATTTATCTTTTTTTTAAAAAATAGTTTTTATAATAATGGTAGTTCCCAGCCAATACATTTGATTAACAAGGATATTTTAGGAAAGACAATACATATTTATTACAAAGAACTAACTTAACTAATTTTCTTAATTTATTCAAATTAGTTAACTAACTATTATATAAGGACCACAGGTAGTATTATATATGAGATTTTAATTCATTCTCTCTCTCAAATTTATAATTTTTTTCAAGTATTCCTGTTGATTGAATATATTAAGGATTTCTTACTAAGGGGAGTGTCAATGCACATAATTAAAAATGATAGTTTAAAAAAACCAACACATATTTGTGACCAATAATCAATTTAACTAATTTTTTCAATATCTCCAAATTAGTTATTCAATTGTAGGGGTTTTCATGAAGCCCAATAGCCCGGTGTGTTCACCCAAACCCGCTAAAAAAATGTCCTACCCAGCCCAGAAAAACACAGCCCGAGGAAAAAAAATAAACATTTTCAAGCTGGGCTAATCATGGGCAGGGTTGGGTTGCAGGCACAGCATACAACCCTGCCCATTTGGCCCTACCCTAAATATATATAATTATTTATATTTTAAATTTTTTTCAAGATTATAATATATACATAGTGTAATATTAATATACTATATTTTATTATACTTCAAAACATTACTACCTTATATTATTAGACTTTACATTTTTAAAGTTCTATTTTTTCAGCTAAAAAAAATTTCTATTTTTTTAAATATACCACCTTTTTTAACTTTTTTAAATTATTTTGCTGTGTACTATAATTATTTTTTAACTTTTTCATGTTGATATTACTTCATATATCATGAAATGATACTAATTATACTAATTTGAATGTAATATATAGATTTCTATAAATTATATTGAACTATAAGTTAATAATATAACTGAATATGTTAATATAGCTTGTATTTTTTTATATGTTTTATTATTTTCTCAACTTTGTGGAGACCGATGCAAATCATTTGGACTTTAAAGTTTTAATTATGATTTTTTATTGTCTTGTTTTTAATAAATTATGGATATTGTTAAATTCTTAAAGCATGGATATCTGTTAAGACATACGTCAGTATTTTAAATTTCATAACTCAAGTTGTAAATTTGGACAAGAAAGCCCGTCCTGCCCAGCTCGCATTAGCCCGGCCCAAATTAACTAGGGCTTCTACTCGGCAGGGCCGGGCAATGCAGCCAGCTTATCCTTTGGGCTGGGCATTGGGCAAGAGTCCTACCCTGCCCAGCCCTATCCATGCACGCCTTTATTTAATTGTTACATGTCCTGGGACAACAATTCATAAATAATTTTAAACTAAAGTATATTTTTAGTCTTTTAACTTTACATAAGGTTTTATTTTGATATCTTAAATTTAAAAAGTAAACTTTTAGTCCTCTAACCCTAAAACAGTTAACAAAAAATGATAATATTAAGCTTTTGAATATTGATAAAACAATACTAAATGCTAACATATTAAGTTTAATTTTCACAACAACCATAATTATCACAAAAAATTATCATTTAAGACTAACAATTTTAGGATTAAAAAATTAAAAGTATACTAGTACTTTTTAAAATTAAGAGACCAAATTAAAATCTTACATAAAATTAAAAGATCAAATATATACCTTACCATAATTTTACAAATACTTTGAGTTATGATTCTTTTCCCAACTTCACAATTTTATAAATATTTTTTGGAAAAAATTAAAGGGATCGGATTTCACAATTTTAAAATAATTTTAATGGCGGTATGGGCTCAAGAAATAAAAATGCCGTCTGCTGTTTGATGTGTCTCAACGCGGTCTTGTGGCGCGTGACACTGGCTGTGTCATAATTTGGACACTAAACCCGCCCACAATTCCCCATATCCGAGCACATCATCAGTTTCGAAAAGTACATTACTCATTTACTAACGTTTATAAAGACAAAGCAGCCGCTCCGAACTACACGAACCCAATAAAGAAACTCTGCAACCAACTCTGAAGGAAAGAAGCACCCTCTTGGCTCTCATCACCCTCCAAAAGCAAACGATATCGAAAAGCTAAGAAGCAGAGAGACATGGGGGATATGTACGGCCATGGAAAGAGTAACATTATTCCCTCTTCATCTCCTTCTTCAACCTTACCTCCCGACGAATTTTCCCTTTTTCTGCATCAGATTCTCCTCCCTCCCCCCTCCTCCGCCGTCGTACCGCCACCGTCTTCCCTCCTCACCCACATGCCTGAGAACGCGCCTAACACTTCTGAGCATGAAAATGCAAGCCTTTCGTACCCATCTTCTCTGCTTCAAGACGTAATCTCAGGTGTTAATTCTACATCTAAAAACCATGCCTTTCTCTCGTCTTATATCCAGGGAGGTTCTGCTGCAAATGTGTCTTCCTCCTCGGTCGGAGTAAGTGGGAATGAGACTGATGAGTATGATTGTGAAAGTGAGGTACTGTTATCTGACTGATGAGTACTTTGGTTTTTTTATATTTGCTCTGTCCATTATCCGGATCTCTGAGTTCCTTAAGATTTGAAGTAAAAACACAGCTCAATTACTTGACAGTTAACTGTTGTGTTTAGGGGGGCACGGTTGAAGCAATGGTTGCGAAGTCAGTTCCTCCCAGGCGTTCATCGAAGAGAAGCAGAGCTGCGGAAGTTCATAACTTGTCTGAGAAGGTTATTGGAATTTGATTGCGTAATTTGGTAGTTGTTGCCTGTGTACCTGGGATTTGATATTTTTTTGTCATACATTGTGTAAATTTCCTTGTGGTTTTCTTTAATGGATCAGCGAAGGAGGAGTCGGATCAACGAAAAGCTGAAGGCTTTGCAGAATCTAATTCCAAATTCAAATAAGGTACACCAAGTTTCTTCTTCACTTGGTTCAATATTGGTTTACTTGCGGTTTTGGATTCATTGTTCAGCTGACATGGTTGAGTCTTTCTTTCTTATGCCCTTGGCAGACTGATAAAGCTTCAATGCTCGATGAAGCTATTGAGTATCTTAAACAGCTTCAGCTTCAAGTCCAGGCGAGTATCTCTTTTAAAACCTGCAATCTTTATTCTTTGCTTCCTTTTTGAAACTGGTACTCATGTATGTCTATATAATTACTGTACTTGATTAATGCCAGAATTCACCTTGATGCATGCAACCCAAGAGAAGAAGGGGAAAAGGGGGGGAAAATTTTTTTTTTACGATACAAAAAATTCATTTAACAGTCATAATTCTCAATTCTTATTTTCAGACTACTAGAAGTTGATTGTCGAAGGAAAAATTGTAATACTTTGGGCTTATCCTTGTCATATATTATCATGTAAACCTGGGGGTGGGAACATTTCTGCAGAAAAAGGATTCCTTCTGGGAATGTAATAGTTGAAAAAAGTTGTACAATTTGGAAAATCTTAGCTGCAACAATGCTTTTAAGCAAAGAGCAAAAGATACGCACTTTAAGTAGTAAACCGTTACAATGTATTTATAGTGAGACAATACACAAAAACGGGAGTGTCGGATGCTTTGTGTGATTTCAAAAATTGAAGTTCCATTGTTCATCTTCGCTGCTTTGACAACATGACAAGATCGCAATAATATGTGCCGGCCCCTTCCTAAATCCTAACGTCCTTGTTAATTTTTGTTTCTGCTTCCCGGATTGGTTGTGTAGATTTTGGAGCATGATCAAGTAATTAATCATGCGGGCTTATATTGGAAATTATTATCCTGCATAAAAAAAGCCCTTTGTCTTAGCTTATTGGGTTCTGCTTAAGGTAAAATTGCAATATATATTCTTTGGAGCATCAATATGAACGCTCCTATGGTTTCTTAGAAAACTACCAAAACAAAAAATTTTCACATATCATATATGATGCATTAACGATTGCTCACATTGTATATTTGCAAAGTCTTAGTGAAATGGTCACTTACTGCAACAAATGTAGATGAAAAGTTCTTGGTCAGCGTGTTTCTGATATGTTCTAATGATTAATACTTCAGATGCTGTCTGTGAGAAATGGATTGAATATGCTTCCCGTGTGCTTTGCCGAAGGCTTGCAGCCTCTGCAGTTGTCTCAGATGAGAGTTGAATATGGTGAAGAAGAAGACGGGTCATGTCCTTTAAACTCAACTGCTACTATGCCTCTTGACCATTCATCCAATCTATCTAACAAACACACTGTGCCTTCCCCATCAAATATAATCAACGCAGAAACACCTTTTGGGTTGGATTCCCAAATCATCGGGCATCTTAGACCCTTTGAACTCACAACAACATCATCTTCTGAGGTATGCTCAAGTTTTCTCACATGGTTTTCACCCCCTCTATAACAGTCAATTTTTACATTTGTTTTCTTGAATCATAAAGCAGATATGCAGGGAGGACATATTGCAGCACCAGCAATTAAATGCAGGAGATTCATATACCAATCCTTTAGGTGATTCTCAAGGTGTGCTGATCTGACATCTTGTATGCTGATTTAAGTAACTGACAGAATTGACAGTAGACACAAATAAACATACTCATGGCCTCTCTTTCTGTCTTCTCCTTTTCTTTTTTTAAGCCCCCTCAGCTGTACGAGACTGAGTCAGGCACTTTGGCTACAGTATCACTCTCCTTTGATGGGCAAAACAACCGAAGTGAAGGAGAATTGAAAGCATTCATTGCAAGAGATTAGTGAGGGGTCAATTTAAGACAATGAACACAGCTTGAATTTTAGGTTCTTCTCAGTGAAGCAGCAGCCAAACTATGGTGCATGGGATATAAGTATCTAACATCTATTGATTTACATATCAAGAGCATTGATCATGTCTTAAATTTGTTGGTATGTGGTTTTCATTGTATTAGAGATAGGATCCAAATCCGATGAACTTGTAGAAGAATATCTGAAATCCATATTGCGATGATTACAAGAATGAAGCTAGCTTAGCTGTTTGTGGGGATGCCTGCTATGGTCAGCTTTTGCCTCTTCGAGAAGCCGCACATTATCTGCCATTATCTTGTCAGCTTGTTTATAAAACCAGAGTGGCCTGTATGTAATAAATTTATACTAATTAGAACTTGAACTTTGGTCATATAAGCTTAAGGAGCTGGGGTTCTTGCCAAATGCCAACAAGAAGATGACTCATTTCCCCACTCTCGCCATTCAAATTTAAAATCGATCTTAAAAAAAATGAGATGCACTATTTACAATTTATAAACAATAGAACTCCTTTTTACAGGCTAATATGCGAGGGACTCCGTAGCGAGGGAATATTGAACAATGAAAGGATGTTAGTCAAAGTTAGTCCTAGGATGCTTCCATATATGAGAATATTTACTATTTATTAAAGTCAAATGTGTAATGAACAAGTCCAAATTCTATAACGATTGATTAGTATTGTTTGGTCTTGATAGGAGAGCCTTGCTTTAATCTGCTGTTTTACTATGCAAAGTCCTTAAAAAGCACATTCTTTGCGAAAAGAACGGTGCTTGCTAACCAAACGCGATTGAACTCCTCGGGAAAAGGATCATATGGGAATGCTTGGTGGTATTCTTTACTCATCTTGGAATAAGAAGGGATTGAATGCTTGGTGATATTCTTTAATTATCTGTTTTTTCTTATTAAACCATACAATATTCTGGGCTTACCCCATAATTAAGGACTTTAATGGGATTTAGACTAATCTAGATCGAATCAAATTAGGATCCTATCAAATGGCAAGCTCTATTATGCTCTATTATTAATGCCGATGCATTTCAAAGTTCATACGCAAGGTACAACTCCCTTTTTGGTTAAACCAAACATGCCATGGTTATTCTTTAGTCATATTTAGAGATCCTATCTTTGGTCTTAATTATAAGAACTAATTGACTAATTTAAGAAAATGAAAAAAATAAGTTAAGTTAGTTATTTGTAATAAATATGAATTGTCTTTTCTAAAATATCCTTGTTAATCAAGTGTATTGGTTAAAACTACTATTATTAGAAGGACTACCTTAGGAAAAATACACAAATATGAGAGACAAAGTGAATTGAGATATTATATTTATGATTAAAATAAAAGTTAAACAAGATCTTATATTAAGAACCGGATGTAGTATTTAAATTATATTTTGCAAGTCTCTCTCTTATCGTATCATTTTTCATTTTTTTCCGTGGTAAAATTAGTTTATCTTTCTTAGTTATCCTTCAATATACACCACACTGATCTTCTACCATAAAAAAAAACTATTCCGATGCTTAATACAAAAACTAATTTAAAATTTAATTTGGTTCTAAATATAAGATATCAATTTATTTTGTCTATCATATTTATCAATTTTTTTAAGGTAGCTCTTGTATTGGTTACATATTTTACAGTTTTAAATAGTGTTTTAAAAAAGATAACTCCTATGTTACAGTTTTAAATAATGTTTTAAAAAAGATAACTCCTATTTATCATAAATAACTAATAAATTATTTAACTATTTTTGAGGTAGTAAATTATTACTAAATGTATTGATCGAAATTTCTCAGTTGTATCGTTAACATTATTAAATGTTGACTTCAAAGTATACCGTCCAATACGACAGAAAGCCAATTGGTCTTGCGACTACGAAAAAGAAAGAACGTCAAGACAAAACTTTCGGACTGTTCTGTTCCTAGTAATTTTTCGCTTTTCTTTTTTTGACTGTTGACTAGTCTAAGAAAGGGTATTATTTTCCTCATTGACACTGGTGCATTTTTGGTACCTGAATACTCCTGGCCTAGTAGTGACTGGTTAGGCCACAAGTGAGGCGAGTCTCTGCTCTTTGAGGACGGGGGTTCGAATCCTCACTTGTTAAAAAAGATACCGGGGAGGGCTTTATTTGTCGCCTGGCCCGAATCCGGACTAGTCGATCGCTCGGGTACAACTGGCTCAAAGAGGCTGGAACCCAGAAAAGGCGCGGTTAGATACCGGATGGTTTATACCGAAAAAAAACTGGTGCGTTTTTGGTTTTACCTAATGTTTTTTTTTTTTTTAATGAAATTGAAACATGTGCAAGTCTAGACCAAAATTCAAAGTTCCACATACAGAAGAAAAGTAATGCCAATAGCGGCTCTGCTTGTCTTTAACGTATTATTTAGCAAATTGAATGGATTGAATAAATCACAAAATTAAATTAAACTCCCCAGTACATAAAAAATATTAATCATCATGTTCAATTCATGAATCAGCATCATTTTTGAAATGAATTTAGTGGCCGGTTCACCACCATACATAACTCAAACTGTATATTATTTATTAGTGAAGACATGAATTTAAATAATGTTGATCATCATGTTCATGGATCGGCATCATTTTTAAATGAATTTAACAGCAGGTTCATTACCAACTACAACTCAAATTGTATAGAGATATGGCTATAGCTTTCTCAGCCTTTTGGCTATGATCAAGTATAAAGATATGGCTGTTTAAAGTTTTTAAAATAGGTTTTGGGAAAAAAAAAAGTTAAATACTACCTCTGGTTCTTAATATAAGATCCTGTTTGACTTTTATTTTGATCCTAAATATAAAACCCTAATCCACTTTGTCTCTCATATTTATATATTTTTTTTTTCAAAATAGTCATTTTAACAATAATAGTTCTAGTCAATACACTTGATTAGTAATGATATTTTAGGAAAAATAACGCCTATTTAGGACAAATAACTAATTCAACTTACTTCTTTAATCTCCTCAAATTAGTCAACTAGCTTTTATAATTAGGAGTGGAGGTAGTATATAAAAGATAAAACATATTAATTTATACAAAATTAACAATATTCGAGCAGGACAATGGGCGTTCAAAAATAATGATGTCTTGTTACTTCTTCCGCTGTTATTTATGGGCACAATTGGTTAGCTTTCTGTAAAATCTTTGTACATTCTTATCATAAAAATTTATCTATTCATGACCCATAAATAATTACACACACACGACCGACCATTTAACATATCATCATTTCATCAACATGTTAACGTCCTCTAGCATAAAATCTGGCATCCATCCACATATATATATATTACGTCCGGTTCTTAATATAAGAGCTAGTTGATTAATTTGAGTAGATTAAAAAAGTTAGTTATTTGTAATAATTAGATATTATTTTTTCTAAAATCAAGTTTCATTTGATAAAATATTTAACATATGTAACCACTTCAACGACTACCTTAAAGAAATAGATGAATATAAGTCACAAAATATATTGGGGTTTTATATTCAGAACCAAATTAAAAATCAAACAAACTCTAATATATTAAAAGTGAGGTAGTATAATATTAAAATGTTAGAGGTGGGCCAAAAAAATCATTTTAATTTTGAGTCATGATTGTTATAACGCAAGACTGGGTCTATGAGCCAAATTTTCTTTTCCAAAAAATATACAATATAATATAAGATATCGACTTATTTTGTTTTCTAAATTTATAATTTTTTCAAAAAATATTCTTATTGAAAGTATAGTTTAGAAAGCAAATATGCATTTGTTACTGCCGGTTTTTAATATAAGAGCTAGTTTGACTTTTAATTTGGTCCTAAATATAATATTCTAATCTACTTTGTTTTTTATATTTATCTATTTTTTCAAAATAGTTTTTACTGTAATTACACATGTTAAATGTTTCATTAAATGATAATTTTAACTAATACACATGATTAGCAAGAGTATTTTAAGAAAAATAACACTTATTTATTACAAATAACTAATTTAACTAATTTATTTAATCTCTCCAAATTACTCAATTAGCCGATTAAAAGTAATATTACAAATAATCAACTTAAATATTTTTTAATATTTTTAAATTATGAATAATAGATTGAATATAGTGATAAAAAATTTTAGGATTCTTGATATATCATTGACCTTCTTATTCGGTCCCCCTGGGTACTTTTACCGGTTGAAAACTTAAAATGACGTGGAGAATGATGTGAACCGGGAGGCGGCTGGAAAGGGGTCTGAGAATCCGTTAGGGAAACTGGTGTGATGGAGTTGACAAATACAAATCAATGACGGAGGAGATAAGACAATAGAAACCAGAGAAGCTGCCACGTGATTGAGAAGTCGTTAAGGAGGGACGAAGCTGTGTAATCCACAGACGATGAATTTGTTCTCATCCCCATAATAGCCAATTGCGTTGAACCCAAGGTCACACATCACCCCCTTTGTCCCGTCTTGATCCTCTTTCTTACCCCTTTTCTTAATTTCTTTTTATTCCCCTTCTTCTTCGGTTCTTCCCGGTAGTTTTCGAGATTGAGTTCAACACCTAAAACAATACATTTGCTTAGAAACTCCAAGGAACCATCCATCCACTTCTTTTTGTCTTCTTTCCCCCCGTGCGTGACGCTCTCGCTCTTGCTTCACCTTTCATGTTAAATAGCGCGCAGGGAAGCCTATTATGATCGATAAACGGGCTACGAACAGCACGGCAATACTAAAATTTCGATAGAAGAAGAAAAACAGAGAAAACCCTAAAAATTCGATGGAGAAAACAATGAAAGCCGAGGAGAATGGCCCGACCGAGCAGAATACTGGTCGGGTTGTAGAGGGACCCACGAACCCCATGGTTACGCCTCTGCTCACGGATCTCTACCAATTTACTATGGCTTACGCTTACTGGAAAGCTGGCAAGCATCAAGAACGAGCTGTGTGAGTGATCATTTTAGTTGTCATTACTTCTGTTTATTGCCTTTATTCTCTGTTTGTCCGAGGCGAGGAAGTGCAACCGCAAGTAACAGGAATCCAAATTCTCCCTTTATTCTAATGGCCTGCTAGCCTCGGAAAGAACAGATGGAAAAAAATTGTTAAAGACTAGTTATAACGAATTGCTAGCGTTCAATATCTTCGGCTTCGATTTGAGGCTTTGATTGGTCAATTCTATTAAACACGGCACATAAACGTTCAAGGGAAACAACATATAGATGTTACTTAACTTCAAAATACACGTTCCCTCAGTTCAGT